TCCTTGGCAACTGCTGCCTCCACTACTCGTTTGATAGCTGGCAAAGCTTGCGGACACACTCCGTCATAGAAATGAGGAGACAGTGTCGTTGAGAAAGCTGTGGCTGCAAGAGCCAGCAAGACAAATATTTGAAGCTGTAAACTGCGGTCGGAAGCCATGTAAGTAACTCTGATTTTGGTAGCTAGATTTTTGTAATACTATGATTGTGTTTGTTGTGTTTGAGGCTGTGATACAAGCACTGGTATTTATATATGGGAAATTAAAAGAAAACACCACATGGGAAATATTTTAATCCATTTCGGACTTAGCCAACGAGACTCTTTCTTATGTTTGAACTTCGCGGCTAGCTAGACACGCGGTTTGATTAATCAAATTGGAAAGTGGAGAGCAGTTAAGAACAAGATTAAACTTTCATAAAAGTGATTGGTTGCACCTAATTTACTTGAAACATAAGCATATATAGGTTAAAGATGAGAATTTGTCAAGTAAACGAACAATTTGATGAGAATAGTTAGAGATTATTATCTTTTGGTATGTGATTAATAATTAATCTTTTCTTTCAACTATATTTACAATCATCTCAAGATTCAAATATAAAACCTTTAAATACAAAAAAATTGAAATGTTATTTGAAGCAAAGGGTAAGATATTTGGGATAGGGGCAAGGTGCAAATATGTTATTCACTTTTATTAAGGCAATTATGTAATGTAAACTAAACTAGATAAAATATCAAATATTAATTTATAATTAATGATTTATATATAAATGTTTATAAATAAAATATTTTAAGGTATATATTATTATTAATAACGTGAATATGATTCAAATAGTATAAATAATTAATTGTCAATTTTTGTATTTATATTTTAACAATTTAGAATAACTATATATATAGTGTTTTATAACTAATTATAATTGTTTAAGATGTGATTCAAATAATGTATAATATTAGAGAGAATTAAAACAATTATCCTCCAATCTTTGCTTTATTCCCAATGGACAAGTTATATTTTGCTTCATTTTTCAAATTATATACAGTTTATTTTTTCCTGCAAATCCTATTCGACACTCAATATATGTTGAACCTATCAAAGCAGACCTGGTATTAATCCTTTCTTTCATCTCAAGTTAAGGAAGCGCAACGTCTTTATATTTGGACATGTTATGCGTATCACATTCTGGGGAAGCAAGGACCATGTCAAAAGCTCATTTTATTCCACTTTGGCCTAAAAAGAGGTAGTGGAAACGAACCCCACCTGCTAACCTACTTGTTATAAATGGTTTAGACTGAGTCCGAATTCATTTATGATCTGATCCTTTTTTCCTTGTGGGGAAGGGATGATTTGAAACAAAGCGGTGTCTACCTTCACATCTAAATGGGCTGACAGTTTAGCTGCTTATGGTATGGTCATCGTTTTAAAATTTGGACTGACTCGGTCGGTTTAACCAAACTTAATTACAAAATACGTATGAAATATGTTTTAATATATTTGGAAGAAAAATTCGACAAAACTCGGCAAACCTAATCAACCCATTGACTTGACCTGATCAGTATCAAAATTATTCTAACAACTCAAGGCAACAACTACAAGGTCCAAACTTTCGATTTGTTTCGTTGTCAAATTTTTTTTTTCTTTTTT